TCTGCAGACACACCCAGGGGTAAAGCCCAGCCCAGGATCCCTTTGTGTGGCATTCCACATCCACAGGGGCCTTGTGAGGAAGTCCATGAACTCTCTCCTGATGGGAGAACTCTCTCCGGAGCAGCCCAGCTTTGAGCCCACCAAGAACAAATTGCTGACCAACGAGCTCCGTGAGCTGTGGGCCACCGTGGAGCAGATGCGACTCGTGAAGGCCAACCACGTCTTCTTCCTGCTAGACCTGCTGCCTATCCTGCTGCTGGATGTGGCTGCTGGGCTCACCCTTTGGGTCTTTGGGACATCCTTCGTGCCGTTCGTCCTCTGCGCGGTGTTGCTCAGCACAGTTCAGGTGGGAGCCTTTGGCTTGTCAAGTGCACAGCCGTCCTCAGCATCCCTGGGGGAAATCTGGAGATGGTGGGGGTGAGTGCAGGCAGAGAACACGCATCCCCTGTGGCCCTCATCTGCTCGGCAGCCACATGCCCGGCTTAATTGCTCTCCGTGCCTCTCCAGCTGCTTCTCCCTGGGCGTCCTTCTTCCTATGGAAGTTGTTCTCTGGAACTTCAAGTTCAGGTTCTGCCATAGCCCAAGTGTGCCAAGAACCCAGATCCTGCTTTCTCAACAAAGCCTGGCTCCTCTCCACCACCGACATCACTCGATGTGCTAATAAGGGTTGAGCCCTGACTCCTGGCTGTCGGAGCCCATCTGGCAAGCCTTCTGCTCAGCGCTGGGTCCTTTCTGCATTCCGGATGTCAGTCCCTCATAAGTCACTAACTTCAGTGCTGGGGGACGAATAACGGACAGAATGTGGGGGTGATGATTTGCCCCAACTCACATTTGAGCCAGAATTCAGCCCCGAGTCTCCTGAGCCTCATGGCCCTGAGTGAACGAAGGAAGAGGGAGGGGCTGGGGGAGGCACTGGGGCAATGAGGGGGATGCCGGACCGGTGGGCTGCTCTCAGCGTGGGCTCTTCTCCCCCAGGCCCAGGCTGGCTGGCTGCAGCACGACTTTGGGCACCTGTCAGTCTTCAGCACCTCAAGGTGGAACCACATGCTCCACCACTTTGTGATTGGCCACCTCAAGGTCAGTGGGGTGGGAGGGGGGTCTCTGGAGCTCCAGGCAGCACAGCGCTGCCAAGGGGAAGGGGCCCTCTGTCTTCATACTCACGTCTCCCCTTTCCTGTAGGGGGCACCAGCCAGTTGGTGGAACCACATGCACTTCCAACACCACGCCAAGCCCAACTGCTTCCGCAAAGACCCAGACATCAACATGCATCCCTTCTTCTTTGCCCTGGGGAAGATCCTCTCCGTGGAGGTGAGCGGGGGTGTCAGCAAAAAGGTTTTGGCGGGGGAGGCGCCAGCACAGAGGGCTTTGTGGGGATGCCCACAGTGTTGTCGGTGTGAGTCAGACACTGGGGACTGGGCTGGCTGGGGCCTTTGCCATTTGGAAGTCCTGGGAGGCAACAGGCAGAGCCCAGGACCGTCACCGTCCTCCCTAGTGAGTTCAGTCAGCAAATAGTTACGATGTAGAAGACCCCACATGCTGTGCAGGATTCAGAGAATGCCCAGGAAAGGACGACAGGGTGAGGCCCCGCTCACCTGTGAAGCAATGGCGGCGCCTCCAGGGGTGCTTTCTCGACACTCTTGCCCGGGCAGGCATTTCACCTGAGCTTTGTGTTCCTCTCACACCTGGAGAGCCTACTTGTCACAATCGCTCCATCCAAGCTTGGACTGTCCTCCTGTTCTTTGACACCCGGTGCCTGGAACATTCATTCACCAAGTACTTTTTCCCACCCTCCTGGTCCCAGCCTGACTTCCAGGGTGGCCCGCGTTGGGTTTGAGTTGTCATCTGAGGATGTGAGCAGAGTCCTAATGTAGCTGCAGGAGGGAGAATGCCTGCGGGGGAGGGGGGAGATCTGGTGCACTCCTAGTGGGCATTAGGCAATGGAAGGTTCTGCAGGGCCACAGAATTCTTTGAAAAGTTCACTTAACACCCTTTGTCTCAGGCTCCAGGCTGAGTCAGAGTTCTGCCAGGTCCCCTCCCCGACTCTGACATTTCAGCTTGCCAGGAATTGAACTTTCGTTAAAGGCCATTTCAGTGCTAGGCATGAATTCAAGGTAGCCGGCCTCTCCTCTCAGCCCTCTGGCCACGGGAAGAAGTGTGAAAGGGCTTTGGCAGTGTGGGCTGTCCTGGTGTGAAGAGCTCGTGGCTTGAGGCTCGTGCCTCACCTGTCCATAATGTTCTGATTTTTTCACCTCATAAGCAGGAACTTGTTGGGTTTGTCACACGTCCAACTCTGTGCTGCGGTGAATAGTGTGCAGATGATGAACCTGACTTCCACCTGGCTCAGGTCGCTGCTTCAAGCCGTGTGGCTCTTAGTAGCAAATCTGTTGTCACTACAGAGGATTAAAAAAAAGGTGGGGCGGCATGGGAACCATCTCACATCAGTGCATGGGAACCATCTCACATCACTGTCTTTATTGCTTCTTGGTACCTGGGTTTCCATAAAATTCCTCTCTGCAGACTTTACGAATAGAGAATGATTTGGGACCCAGAATAGCCTTTCCTTTTTTCCCCCAGCCATGAGCCCAAGGATAGGCTGCCCGTTAGTGGATTCCTGGGCTGTAGGCTGCTTGGGGCTCAGCCCTGTCCCTCTGGGTACAGCTCTACTGGATGCTGATGTCTGTGCTGACCTTTGCACCCGCTTTGGGGCCTTCCGACTCTCCTGGGGGCAAGAGGTACACTGCTCTAAACAGAACCCTCTGACTTGCACGAGGTCAAACACAGTGGGGCGAAGGTGTAAGCATCATCAGGGGAGATGACTAACATGATGGCAGCAGTGGATGGGGCTTTTTTCCAGAACAGTTCCAGGATAGGTGCCAGGCTCTGCCCCTGCCCTCCCACTAAACAAGGAGGACCTCTTTTAGTTTTCTGCTGTCAGTGTGGCCTCAGGAGGGGTGACTCCCCCCACCACATCCAGGGCACCAGCAGGCCTGTCTGCATGGCTTCCCAGTACACCCTGGCTTCAGCGATGCCCCACTTCTCTGCTTCTCCTGGCCTGGTCCGTTCCTGCTCTTGCTGGATTAGCTGCAGCCTCCTCACTGGTCTCCCTGTGACTGACTACACCTTCCCCTACAACTCATTCTCTGCACTGCCAGCCTTTTAAAGTGTGGTGCCACACCCACAGAAGACACTTCAGTGACTTCCCATCTTCACTGGAATAAAACCCAGACTCCAAGGCTGGGCAGGGTGGCTCACACTTTTATTTCCAGCACTTTGGGAGGCCGAGGTGAGAGAATTGCCTGAACCCACAGGTTCAAGACCGGCCTGGGCATCTTGGCGAGACCTCATCTCTACAATAAATCAAAAATTTAGCCGGGCATGATGGTGCATGCCTGTAGTCCCAAATACTTGGAAGGCTGAAGTGGAAGGATCATCAGAGCCCAGCAGGTCAAGGCTGTGGTGGCCATGAGCGTGCCACTGCCCTCCAGCCTGGGTGACAGAATGAGATGCCGACTCAAAAAAAAAAAAACCAAAAAGACCCCCATACTCCTGACTAGCCTCACCAGGGCTTTCTAAGGCTGACTGATTGAGCTGGCGGCCCCAACCTGTCTCTTCAGCAGCGAGGCTTACAAAATAACTACCACCTACTGGGGAAAACTGCCAGAAGCTTCAGATTGCCAGGACATTCTTGGTGTCCTTTCCAGACATATTTGCCAAACTTTGCTCAATTTTCAAGGGATTTGCTAAAGCTCATGTTGAAGTCAAGAGACCAAAAGATTTTGATGGGGAACATTAGAGAGGCTGGATATAAAGGGAGTGCTTAATCTGTCTGGGGTAAACCATGGGGATTGGAGATTCTGATTTCAAAAAAGTACCAGATGGGAGACAGGAAGGGGAGAGGGCAGTGGGCCCTGGAAGCCTTGTGACAAAGGGTTCTGTGGCCAAACACAAGAGGACCCTGGGACCCTGAGGACCCTGCGTCATGTGTCCCTCCTGAGAGCACAGCCCACTGAGCTATGAGTCATGGCATGGCCCACTCCGTGTAGCACAGCTCTGGAGCAGGCCTGAACTTCCACACAGGGAAGAGCCAAGGTCACAGCAGGAGGGAGCGGGTGATGCATCTATGGATGCTGATTTGTGTTTGCTTCTCTTTGCAGCTCGGGAAACAGAAGAAAAAGTACATGCCATACAACCACCAGCACAAATACTTCTTCCTGAGTAAGTGTCTTCGTCCTGCCCAGGGGAGCTGCCTTAGAAGAGGGTGCTAAAGGGGTGCAAGGAAAAAGTAGGAAGCCAAGAGGTGACGGCATTTTAAGGAAAGGATAGGACTTTGGTATTTTAAGGAAGCAGTTTGCTGTCTCACCTGAGCAAAGTCAACTTAGGCTGATGTTTAGTTGAAGGTCATTTGATTGGAGGCAAACTAATTCTTCCCAATCCACCCCAGCTTCCACAAGGAAACTGAGTGGTTGGTTGGGGGAGGGGAGCGGGGTTCCTTCTTAAGCCTTAAATCTTATCTTAAACCTTGTCAAACAGACCTGGGCCAACGTGACCTCGTAGGCCCAGTCCAACCTCCAGGGGAACAAAGGTACAGATGGCTTTAAAAGGATGGGACCTAAGGGAAGAGCTGTTAGAACTAAGAAGACATTTCTGTGCTTGTCTTTGTACAAGCATTTTCTGAAGACAGCTATATATTCCCTGCTTTAAAAGACACACATGTAGTCTCAGCTACTGGGGAGGCTGAGGTGAGAGGATCCTCTGAGCTCAGGAGTTTGAGGCTGTGGTTAGCTGTGATCATTCCACTGTACTCTAGCCTGGGCAACAGAGCAAGACCCCATGTCTTTAAAAAAAAAGCCAGGTATGGTGGCTCACACCTATAATTCCAGCACTTTGGGAGACTGAGGCAGGAGGATTGCTTGAGCCCAGGGGTTTGAGACCAGCCTGAGCAACATAGCAAGATTTCATCACTACAAGAAACAAAAAAATTAGCCGGGCATAGAGATGTGTACTCAGGAGACTGAGACAGAAGGATCACCTGAGCCCAGGAAGTTGAGACTGCGGTGGGCTGTGATCATGCCACTGCACTCCAGCCTGGGTGCGACAGATTAAGACCCCAACTCCAAAAATTTCTGCTGGATAATGCCTAAAATTTGAGCTTTAACTCCTTTAACAATTGGAAATTTTATTTTATTTTATTTATTTATTTTTTTGAGTTGGAATCTCACTCTGTCGCCCAGACTGGAGTGCAGTGGCCGCTCCCGGCCACCGCAGCCTCGACCTGCTGGGCTCCGGCGATCCTTCCGCCTCAGCCTTCCGAGTAGCTGGAATTACAGGCATGTGCTACCACGCCTGGCTGATTTTTTGATTTATTGTAGAGATGAGGTCTTGCTGTCCAGGGGGTCTTGAACCCGCAGGCTCAGGCAATCCACTCACCTCAGCCTCCCAAAGGCACGAGATTACAGGCTGAGCCACCGAGCCCGGCTAACAATTTGAAATTTTAAAGGACAGGAGGGAAGGATTCTGTTGATCCCATCTTAGTTTGAAGGAATTCATCCTAACTGCCTAGTGCCAACTATCCCTCCTAGAGAAAGGTGGGTAGGTAGCATTGGGTCCTACAGAGAAGAGTTACAGAGGAAACAAGGCAGCACATGGAATGGGCTCCACTCTTGAGCTCCCAGTTTTCTTTCAAAAGAAGCCCCTTTGCTCCTTCCCTCAGCTGTCTTCCAGGGCTTCAGTGAGGTGACACAGGCCCATCCCAGGTCCAAAGATGTGCACTTCTAGCCTCCAAGGGCTCGGCAGTGACCCCCGCAACGCACACAGCCCTGCTCCTGCCCCTTCACCTGCATGTCGAGCAGCCAAGAACACAGACAAGGCAGATGACTGCAGGGACAGGCCTCGCGCCAGCAGGAAGGCCCTGGCAGAGGCAGGGCTCTCAAGTCAATGCAGGGAGTGTTAAGTTAGCAGCACCCTCTTAAGGGTGTGGGAGCAGAGCAAGGCCCGTGCGTGGGGCTGAGTCCCCTGGCTGCCTGTCCCACTGAAAAGAGTTGCTCTCCCACCCTCACCCTCCCTGGCGGTTGTCTTGGGAGATTTTGCCTTCTCCAGACTTGCATCTGTGCCCACTCCAGTGCCCACGGGTCCTGGTGAACTGAGGAGTGCTCCGGCAGCTGGAGGGCAACAGGAGGGGCCAGGTGGGAGGCAGTCCGCTGGAGGCCGCCATGCTGGAGGCCATCTCTCCAGCACCAGCTGACGCTTTCCCAACCCTCCTGCCACTCATGCCTCCTCCCTGTCTCCGATTCCTCCCCAGTCGGGCCTCCAGCCTTGCTGCCTCTCTACTTCCAGTGGTATATTTTCTATTTTGTTATCCAGCGGAAGAAGTGGGTGGTGAGTATCCATGGCCCACAAAACCCACATCCTGTGTCTCTAACCATCTAGGGTGGGGAGGGGGTACCCAGGGGAGGCTGAGACTGACTCCAGGCCTAATATTGGAGCAAAACAATAGGCCAAGGTATAGATCCTCCTTATCTCTCAGCTGGACAAAATGATCTGGGCTTAGCAGTCACCTCGACTACCAGTGCCTGACTTTGGTGGCCAGTGTTGCCTGAGGTTCTTGGGCAGGGCATCATGCCAGGGACCAGGTGGAAACAGGGACACTGAGTGGGAGACACTCAGTGCCTACTCTCAGGAAACTTCTGGTGAGGCAGAATGTGGTTGTCACTAGAATAGAGGTACAGGCCATGGGTTCTGGGGATCTTAGAAGGGTCCTGGCCGCACCTGGCTTTGGGAAGTCACTTTTCTTGATGGGCAGGATGTTGTGATACAGGAGTGGGGTGAGGGGATGGATGCCAAGCAGAGGAGCTGGGAGGTAAGGGGCGAGTTTGGCCCCAGATGTTTGCTGGGGGAAGACTCAGGTGTCAGGAAGAGTGCGGTACTTGGTTCAGTATGCAGAAAGGTGGTGGGAAATTTGATCAGGGTGCTGGGTGGTCTGAGCCATGGCCTGGGAAGACTCCTTGGGGGCATGCTGAAGGCTGTGATGGGCTGGAAAGGGGCTGGATGCAGGAGACCCTGTAGACGTTGGCTCTTGCAGAGGTGACAGGCAGGGAGGGCTGCGGGTGCCATCTGGAATGGAAGAAAGGAGCAGTGGCGCTAGGGATTGCAAGACTGGGCCACAAGAGATGCTGAAGGTAGCCGAATCTGGACACCTGGGAGGATGGCTGCCCAACCAAAGTAGCAGGTGATGGGAAAGGAAAAGGAAGAGCTGCATCCTGGCTGCAGTACGTTCTCCCTTCTCACCACAGGACCTGGCCTGGATGATCACCTTCTATATCCGCATCTTCCTCACTTACATGCCACTGCTGGGGCTAAAAGGCTTCCTGGGCCTGTTCCTCATGGTCAGGTAGTATTGATGCGATGGGGTTGGGGATGGGCGAGGGGATGTGCAGAGGGAGGGCGTGACCGGTCTGGGTAGGGGGCTGGTTTTGGGAGTTGGCTTGGGAGGGTGGACAGGCTGGAGCCTATTGTTTTGCTGGGACGTCAGGACTCTGAGCTCTGCCTGTCCTGTTTTTTGTCTGTGCCCATCCATCAGGTTCCTGGAGAGCAACTGGTTTGTGTGGGTGACACAGATGAACCACATACCCATGCACATTGATCACGACCGGAACATGGACTGGGTCTCCACCCAGGTAAGGCACAGTCACGCAGAAGACTTGGGCGTGACAAAAACGATCGAAAAGGGTGGGTGAAGACAGTAAGAGAAAAAAAAAAAAAAAAAGGACCCTCCCCCTCCCCCAGTGCTGTCTCATTAGCTTGAGGCTTCTCTCCTGCCACCATGTGACGGGAGTGGCCAGGACAGCCCCACACCCCCTCCCCAGCCAGACTTACCTGGAGAAGGATGGGCCGGCCTCTCTGCCTGACCTGAGACATCCCTCCTGACCTTCTCCTGCAGCTTCAGGCCACATGCAACGTCCACAAATCTGCCTTCAATGACTGGTTCAGTGGACACCTCAACTTCCAGATTGAGCACCAGTGAGTAGGGAGCTCCGAGAACCAGGTCCTGGGGAGGGTGGAAGTGTGGGGGCAGGTGGGAGCAGAGACACTGACTCTCCCCTATTCTCCCCAAAGTCTCTTCCCCACGATGCCCCGACACAATTACCACAAAGTGGCCCCCCTGGTGCGGTCCCTGTGTGCCAAGCATGGCATAGAGTACCAGTCCAAGCCCCTGTTCTCAGCCTTTGCCGATATCGTCCAGTGAGTATCTCAGCCCAGGACGATGGCCGGGGAGGGAAGAGGCAGGGTTGTGGGAACGGGAATGGTTGTGGCATGCAAGGTGGGGAGTAACGGGAAGGTGTTCCCAGGCATCTGGAATGGAGGTCACCATGGCAAAGGGGCTCTGCTGGGCTTGTGGCCAGGTCAGGCCTTTGCTGTCACTGGGGTTCCCCTCTGCGACTTGGCCCCAGCTAGCTTTCTCAGAAGCCAAGGGAAGAGAGCCTCAGTCACAAGAAGCTCGCTCCGTCTCTGGACTCCACTCTGCCTCCCTCACGTCTGCTCCCATCTGTCCCTGCAGCTCACTGAAGGAGTCGGGGCAGCTCTGGCTAGATGCCTATCTTCACCAGTAACAACCCCCGCCCTGTGTGGAAGAGGAAGAGGACTCGAGTCAAAGCAGAGGGACCCTGGAGGGACAAAACCACTGTGATTCTCATACTCAGAGCGGGGTGGGTTTGGAAACATGAAGGCACTGGCTCAAGCCCCTCCCTTTTACCTTCCAGGCTCAAATCTAATCTAAGACCCAGAAAGGTATGAGGGCCACACACATTCTCTGGAAGGAAGGAAGGAGCCATCAGGGCAGGGATGGAGACGCTTCTGTTGTTTATTTTTTCTAGACTGGCAGATGCAGGCAGTTCTGAGTAGAGGGAACCAGTAGGGTACTGGAGAAGGGGGCACCCACTGAGCTCAGAATAGGGAAGAGAGTTGGCACCAGCGTTCTACTCACCTGAAGGGCGGGCCGCTCAGTGCCTTCTTGGTCTTCACACGCCAACCTCAGAGGGGTAAGAAAGCTGAGCCTTTTGAGCCAGTTCAGAAAGCAGGCATGAACGCTTAGAAGTCTGAGGCCCGGCATGATTCAATGCCCAGGAACTCGGCTCACTGCCCAAGACGAGGTGTAACTGGTGTCTGTCTCAGGCTGCTGGGAGAAGCAAGAGCCAGAACTAGGGTGTTGGAGACATTTGGCCCCACGGGATCCTGGCAACACTGATTTCCATCTCTTCCGTCTAGGGTTTAGAGAGAACATTAGATCCCAGCTCTTGCTAGAACAGACGGTACAGAGAGTTGCTGGCCATCAAAAACCCCTTCATCTTTTGTGTCACCTCTTCTTTTTACCTCTTTATCCCCCAAGGAACAAAACACTCCCAGAACTGGGAGTCTGCTTTCTGCCCACAAGTAAGGAGCAACTTAGTCTTTCCTTCTCCCTAGAAACAAACGGGGCATCCAGTGGTATCCATTTGTTTCCCAACCTATAACTCCAAGTTTAATTAAGTAGCAATTTTTGGGAATGCCTAGGCCTGCTAAAGATAAATAAATAAAGTAGCAGTTAGCACAAGTGACCAAATTGAAAGATACTAATTACCAGTCATGAGGAAAGACACACATTTTAATTAGAGTGTAAGGACTATAAACAGAAACTTCCTATAACCTAAAATGATCTTGCAGCATTATTTTTGAGCAGGAGCCGTGTTAATCACTTCATAGTTCTAAATCAGAAACGGGAAGATTAAAAACAGAACGGTTTGTGACCATCATTGCTATAGCTAGGCGTTTTACTCTGTCCCGCTTGTCCAAGGGTTCTATTCTAGAGGTCATATAGGAATTTAGACTACATATAGAATCAGTGTAACACTGTGTATCAGTGTAACACTGGGATACAATTTTGGGGTTTTTTTTAGTTGGGGTCTTACTCTGTCCCCAGGCTGGAGTGTAGTGGCACGATCAGGGCTCTGCAGCCTTTATCTACTGGGCTCAAGTAATCCTCCCTCCTCAGCCTCCTGGGTAGCACCACCACGCCTGGCTAATTTTTGTATTTTTTGTAGAGACAAGGTCACACTATGTTGCCCAGGCTGGTCTTGAGCAGTCCTCCTGCCTTAGCCTCCCAAAGTGCTAGGATTGCAGGTATGAACCACCACACCTGGTCTGAAATATAATTTTTTAATCTTCTGGTTTTTAAAAGATAAAGACAGTTTAACTCACTCTCTGGAGTGGACACAGGGATATGCCCAGGGTCTTGCCTTAACTCCGAGGGCTTCTCAACAGCCTTCACACCTTCCCCAACCTGCAGCCTTTCCATCCTTGTGAAGGGATGATTTCTTGGACTGTTCAACAGCATCTGCTCAAGGCACGATGACCATTTTGGACGCTGGGAGGAGAACCTCAAGCCAGAAGGAAAAAGCAGAGCCCACGTTTAGTTTTGAGAGGGAGTGGCAGACCGTGGAGGAGATGAGGGTTGTACAGCATACTGGGGTGGTTAGAGACACCACCTGTTGAAAGGCCATTTGTGTTGCTTAGAGGCTTGTCAAAATAAAGATGAGAGATAATACAGTTGGAGAACAGGTTGCAGAATTCAGAGCTTTTCCATGTGGGCAGATTTTGCCAGCCTGGAGAACCTGGTTTAAAACAGCCTGGGTAGAAATGTCAGAAGAATTAGAAAGTTCTAACTCATGAGCTTCCTCATTCCAAAATAGGTACTGATCTTCCCTGTTCTGTTCCTGCCATTGACGTTTAGGTGTGGTGTCACCAGCCTTCTAGACACCCGGCCTTGTGCCTAGGCTGCCCAACCTGAGCAAACACCAGCGAGGCTCTGAGCCAAGACCAGGTCCTCAAAGCACCCGAACCACTCACTGTGGCCTTCTGTCCTTAGCCTCTAGCAGTGTGGTCTTTCACATGACCACAAGGGACACGTCAGTTACAGAATGTTACTGTGATAAAATGATGATCCAATCCACTGACAGGTGAGAGAATACAGGCTTAGGAAAAGTAACCTCTGGTCACACAGATTATGGCACAATTAACACCTGAACTCCAACTTCTGTTTATCTTTGTTACTTTTACTTTTTACAACTGGGCCAGAGGCATTTTCTCCAGTCAGGCCCAGTATCAGTATCCTCGCCTGTGCCAGTTTTGTGACTACATCATGATGAAGCCGAAAAATAAAGTTAATTTTCACCAGATGAACTGGATGTCATGAAGGCAGTTGGTTTAATTGTAGCTTCTTCAAGGAGATCCTTTATCTCACAGAGTAGGTGGGAGACGAGAAATCTGCTCAATTTATTAAAGCTCCTAGCAAGAATGATTTGGAACCATGGTGTGAGTATATATGTACACAGAATCCCCCTGCTACAAACAAGTTACTGTTCACCTCTGTGTAACTAATTCCTGAACACAAATTGCAGGCTCCCCTTTGTATGAGCCCCTGGGCAGAGGAAGAAACATCAGAGCCACCAAGTCAAGCAAGAAAAAGCAAAACAAAGTGCCTTTCCATGAAGCAATGATGCCTAGGCACACCTGCCAGGTTTCACGTGTACCATTTTCTCGTAGGAGGCGTCACCTGTCCATTTGTCCTTCGTTTTCCATTTTGAATCATTTTCTCTTTACTTTTTAGCTTGTTTTTAATTTTGGAATGGTTGGTTCCCACGAGCCTTGCTTGCCTGCACCTTGCTCTGCAAGCACAGTGCTGCAGAGCCAGACTGCAGAGCCCTGCCTCAACCACCCGTCCTCCTAGGATGCCTCTCCTGAGCACAGGCAGAACACTTGCAGGCAGGATTGATTTTCCCTGCAGTGTTTCCATACAAAATGACATAGATAAACTTCTAGAAGAGACCAAGCAACTCACCAAAAAGCAAAAGGAAAACAAGCTATTACATGCTTGACTACCATGTGGTACAAAGCCTTAATTGGAGCTACTGCACTGAGGTGACAAATCAAAAAAAAAAAAAAAAAATCTTAACCACTGCCGGGTGTGGTGGCTCATGCCTATGAACTCAGCACCCTGGAAGGCAGAGGTGAGAGGACTGCCTGAGCCCAGGGATTGAGACCAGCCTGGACAATTTGGCAAGGCCTCATCTCTACAATAAAATTAGCCAGGTGTGGTGGCACATGCCTGTAGTTCCAGCCAGCAGATCGAAGCTGTGGTCACTGTGATTATGCCACTGCACTCCAGCCTGGGCGACAGGATGAGATTCCAACTCAAAAAAAAAAAAAAATTACTGTCTCTAGGTCCTGTTATCACAACCACAGGTTAGTATCAAAGTACTAGAATCAGAAGATGGAGCTCAAGTAAATTGTGTGCTTGGTACCACATAGAAAAATCAGGGTTGGCTGGTTTGCTGAGATGGTCATTCTGTCACCCAGGCTGGAGTAGTGGTGAGACTATGGCTCACTGCAGCCTTGACCTGCTGGGTTTGAGATTCTATGGCCTCAGCCTCCCAAGTAGTTATCACTACAGTGTGCCTCCACACCCAGCTGAGTTCCCTGGCCTTGGGACAGAACTTTTCCTGTCTACACCAGTTTTCTTTTTATTTGAGTTGGACTCTTATTGTTGCCCAGGCTGCAATGGCACACTCACGGCCAAGGCAGCCTTGACCTGCTGGGCTCAGGCGACTTTCGCCTCAGCCTTCCAAGTAGCTGGAACCACAGGTGCACATCACATCTGGCTAATTTTTTATTTATTGTGGAAACCTGTGGGCTCAAGCAATCCTCTCACCTCGGCCTTCTAAGATCTGGGATTATAGGCGTGAGCCACCACGCCCGGCTACCAGTGATTTTCAGAGAATCCCCTAGTTACAGGCCATTGCTGGGGAGAACATATCTTTTTGCTGCTTCAACCAGAGGTGCTCTTACATCCTGAGATTTCACATAAGATTTTACTTGTAAAATAGGTTGCCCCATCAAAAGACGTGAAACCCACTGGTCTTTAAGCTTCTACTGTTTAATCTGTCAAAACTGTCAACTTAAACTTTGGACAGTTACTTAGGCATCCTTGTTAACGTCCAATGGCGGTGACAGTAATGCTAAAACATCAGAAACTCAGATGGGCCAGATCCCCACCAAGCATTATCGGCATCACAAAACTTCCAAGGTTCAAAAACATTCCATCTCCGAGAAACAGCAACCTGAACTTGATGTCTTAACAAGAAAATGGTTTCAGAATGGCAGCGTCACCATTTATCAGTTAGCAAAATACATGGCTGGATGTCACGAGGCAGTTGATCTAAACTGTGAGGCTTTCTTAAAGGCGCTCCTTCATGTCATACTGAGATAGAAACCTAGACCATGTATTAAAACGCCTTTCCCAGCAAGATAAACAAGGTCTCCTCCAATGGCTGCGATACCACCACTGAGCTGCTGTGGCCATCCTATGGGGGCACAGCGCCATCTTGTGGCCACCTTCAAACCACCTATTGTTCATAGAATGCAATTTCAGCATTCTGTCTGGAGCTTGGGGTACTTGGCATTTGTTTTTTTGAGTCTCCAGCGATAATTCTGCCTCAGTCTTCCAAGTAGCTGAAACCACAGGTACATGCCACCTCACCCGGTTAATTTTTTAAAGATTTATTGTAGAGATTGTAGAACCTTGCCAAGTTGCCCAGGCTGGTCTCGAACTCCTGGGCTCAGGCAATCTCTAGCCTACGCCTCCCAAAGTGCTGGGACTATAGGTGTAAGCCACCACACTCTGCTGGGATATTTGCAACTGTTCTCAAAGAACATGACATTGTGGTTACTTTTATAATTTTATTGACTTTTTTTTTCTTCATAACTTTAAAACAAAAACAGCACATGAAAACCAGTGTCTAATCCCAAAGTCTCAATTTAGTTGACTGTCAGATGAATGTCACCATGACTCCTTGGAATAACCACTGTAAAGACTCAAATTACATAGCAAGTTCCAGTTTTCTGCCCACCCCCAGACACAGCCAGTAATCAGACCCCGCTGCCAACTCCAGCCAATCTTAACCCTCATCTGCCAAGACTGGGCCTTCGTGATGGCTCTCAGGGTGCGTCAAGACTGAATTAGAGAATCACAGTCCCGGCCCACCATCCCCTCCCACCAGCCAGCAAATTATTTCTGGAGAGTCTTCTGTCTCCACCATTTATCTCCCTCTCTCCCTTCTCCAGAACTCATTACTATCACTTTCACGTAACAATGGACTCGGTGTCCGCTCAACTGCCTGAGAATCCTGACATATTTTCCTGAGCTAAAAAGAAAACAAAGTACCTCAGTGACCTTCCTGCCATGAAGATCAAGCACAAAAGGGAAAAGCACTGCTGGGAAAGGCTGCGGAATCCTCTCCCCACCCCTGGAGCTGGCTGCCAAGAGTGCAGTAAGGCAGGTGGCCGACCCAGGGCCAAGGAGGTATGATGGGGAAACACATTTATTTTCCCCTTTTGAACTTCCCTGCTGCCCCAGTCTTTGCCTTCTTCTTAGCAGACCCCTTGGGTTCGGGCTCCTTGCGCTTAGCTGAAGACAGAGAGCCGGTCACCTTGAAGAAATCATCCAGGCGGCCCTGGGTGCTGCCCTGGCGGCTCTTGCTCAGCCTCTTGACTCCACTGCGGATTCGCTCCTCAGAGAACTGCTTTTCGCCGCACATGAACTTGACCAGCTCTTCTTCGTTGGGCTCACTCCACTTCAGCTCCACAGACTCGGGGTCCAGCACCTCGGGCTCCAGGAAGAGCTGCTGGGCCTCCTTGTGGAGCCAGTTTTCCGGCACGGGGTACTTGCTGGGGTCCAGCCGCCGCACGATCTCCTCAATGCTCTTGTGCTTCTGGATGAGGTCCACGGCCCGCTTGGGCCCGATGCCCCGGATGCTCTCGCAGTAGTCGCTGCCCAGCAGGATGCACAAATCCACAAACTGTTCCTGGGTCAGGCCCAGCTCCTGCAGAATCCGGCTCAGGTGGAATTCCTGGATGGGCAGCTTCTTGGCCTCACTGGCCGTCAGGTGTCGCATCAGCACTGGGCTGCCGAAAGTGAGGCAGTCCATGTCCTCGGTGGCCGCAGCGTAGACTTTGCCGGCCTTCACCAGGGCAGCACAGCTGGCCTCTGCCTCGCTGGGCGCATCAAGGTACGGGATGCCCATGAGGCTCAGCAGATGCTTGCACTCGTCGTTGTGCTGCTTGGTGACCTTCACCAGCCGCTTCGTGAACTTTTCCACCTCCAGCTCGGCCCCGGCGGCCTGAGCTTGCTGCAGCTGCTTCTCAGCCTCCGCCCGCCGCTCGCTGCGTTTGGCCAGCTCGCCTGACTTGAGCTGGGGTGGCTTGCCATCGAAGACGTACACGGGCTTGATTCCATTTTCCATCATGCGGATGGTGCGGTAGAACATGCCCATCAGATGGCTGGTAGTCTCGCCCTCCTCGTTCTGCAGCACATCCCCACCCTGGCGAACAGCAATCAGGAACTGATAGATGCTCATGGAGGCATCAATGGCCACCTTGCGGCCAAAGTAGCTCTTGATGTCATTCTCTCGGATGGCACTGGGGGCCACATCAGCAATTAGTTTGGCCAGACCTTGAATTCCCATGGCAATCCAGAGGAGGGATGGCTAAAAATAAAAGGCAAAGAAGAGAAGAGAAGGAGGAATTTTAAAGATGCAAACAGAGCAAGGGTTACAAATGGTGCTATTGGACCAACTTCATGCCTTCAGCTAACCAAACTGAGCCCAACAAAAAGGGTACACCAGCACTGTGGAAGATGAAAAGATGAATGAGACAAGGTTCCATCTTAAGCAATAACATCTGTGTTATTTATTCTACCAGGCTTTCCAATTGTTCCTGCTTTTCCTTCACAGGGTTCTTTCTGAAACATAAAAGACTGTTAAATTCCTCCTTCGAGCCGGGCTCAGTGGCTCAGCCTGTAATCCCGCACCTTTGGGAGGCTGAGGTGAGTGGACTACCTGAGCCCACGGGTTCGAGATCCGCCTGGGCAGCAAGACCTCATCTCTACAATAAAGCAAAAAAATCAGCCGGGCGTGGTAGCGCGCACCTCTAATTCCAGCTACTTGGAAGGCTGAGGTGGAAGGATTGCCGGAGCCCAGCAGGTGAGGCTGCGGTGGGCGGGAGCGGC